CATGCGGAAAGTGGGTTTTCCCAGAATGAGACTGATAATCCTCGTGGGGAGGAAGTAAGACTGCCGTGGGGGTGTTCAGGAGTGACAGCTGAAGGCAGTTCCCATTAATTTCGGGGTTTTTATTTAGCTCAGTGGTTGCTGGTAGTTCATTACGAAGCTCACCCAGCCTCACTTCTAAATGGGCATCAAATGGCTGTGCGAACAGCGCCATTTTGAAGGAGCTGTGAGTTGTCAGCCTCCAGAGGACCCAAATGCCTCAGTCCGCTGGCCCCAGGCAATAGGTACTGTAGTCACTTTCTTCCACATGAGGCAGAGCCCACCAGTGGCCAGACGCCAGTTTTCATCCTTCTTAGAGCAGGGCCTGACTTTTTGTGACAACAGTGCAGTAAAGGACTATATTCTCCAGCCTCCTTGGTAGTAAGGGGAGGCCACGTGATCACGTTTGACTGAAGTGACACAGCAGAAGTGTGTAGGCCTTCAAGGAGATTTCTTAAAGTGGAAGGATGAGGAACCCCTTCTCCTGGCTGGAATACAGGTGTGATGGCAGCCACTGTGGACCATGAGGCAACCTTATGAGGATGGCAGATCGAGAGATGAAAGGAACAAAGTCCCTGACACCATAAAGAATCATAACAGCCTCAGACTACCTACCTTCAACCTTTTCTTAGGTGAGAGAGAAACAAGCTACTTTGTTTAAGACTCTATCATTTGGGTTTTCTATCAGAAAGTGGCTGACCTTAATCCTGATATGCACACTTTTCTCTCCAAAACCACGTCCAAATAAATGTCCCCCGGTCATGAGGCCAACCAAAATTACAATGGCAGCCAATAATGGACAGCCCCCTTTTTCTATTCAGGCCAGGGTTCTAGCTAGTAACTGGCTTCTAAATGCCATAGAAACTACCCCCCTCATCCACAAAACAACAACGGCAAAAAGAAGTGTTTTTCATTTATCTGGGGACTGTGGTCTGAGCTCTCTGCCAAGTCTACAAGCCTCACTGGGGTTCTGGCAGCAAAGACCAATACAGACCAGAGGGGAGGGGTGACAGAACACACCAGGAAGGAGCATGCAGAGGTATTGTTCCTTCAGGGTGATGAGTATCTATTACTTTTTCCTGTTGCCTGTATCTTTTTCTTCAAGCTACCCTCCTGTGCTTCCCGTAATTCTAGTCGAGATGTCTATCAAGCCTCCCAGCCCTCCATCCCCCAATTGCCAGACCGGATAGGAACCCAGACTGGCCAATAAAGTAATTCTAACTCCTAGGGCAGTGATTGGTTCAAGGATGGCCATGTGACTCAGGAAGGGCCAATTAGAATTCTTCCCTTCACGGATTGCGATGTGTGCTGTGTGAAAGGAAATCTCCCTCCTAAAACATCATTTAAAGTTGGAGCTGCTCAGGAGTGTCTTGATGTGAAGTAAAGAAAGCCTGTCCAAGAATGAAGCCAATGAAATCCTAAGAATGCCTAGGATTTGTTGAGTTTAGAAAGGCAGTCCCTTAATGGCTTGGTTTTAGCTCCTAGATCCCACCACACCTGGAACCCTGCCTTTTCGTTCCTTCTTATAGGGAAGAACATGTAGAGCTCACTTCTGATACGACCTTCCTCCTGGAGAAGCATCTCTTAGCGTGCCAGTCTTTGCTCCCTCTCTGCCCACCCTTCACTCACACCTCCCCAGGACGTGGGGGAGAGAAGTGACCTGCACAGCTTAGTTCCTCCCTGTCATTCTGGAATCCATCTAGAAGAGCACACACTGTCTGTCTTTCTATGTTCTCAGCTTTTCAGAGGCAGAGCCTGCCGGAGAGCCCATGAGTAGGGAGTGAGTCCAATGCAGGGGTGCCGACTGACAAGGCTCTCCTGGCCCTCAGCCCTGAGGCCCATCGGCCAAGTGGTCGTGACCCACACTAAATCCCATCTCTTCTGCTTCTGCGTCCATCTTTCAACTGACGTTAAACTGGGGCCAGAAAGAAGAGTGTCAGTTATTGGTGCCCTCAAATTCCATTCCTAAAGACACAAGTTAAAAGTGTAACTTTCCCCTAATGCTATTTGTTTCTTTTACAACCCAAAGGGTCCTCATCAATGCAGCTCCCCGGACCCCTGCGTCTGAGGCATTGCCCCATCACATTTCCCATGCTAACATTTCCTGTCTATCAGCTAAAGAAACCTTCCTTTCTCACAGTGGAAGCTTGGGTTCTTTCCTCATTTTTAGGTGCTGGCAGCTTCTTCTCAATTGACTAGAGTGGCACCGATAAATCAGACACAGTGCTGGGACTTAATCCCTGGCCCCTGTGACCTGGGGGTGGGGAGGGGTAGGAAAGCATTGAAGGGCCTGTGGTATGAATGGATTGCACCCATGCCCCAATTCATGGCCTCCTACATCTCTGTCCTTTGCTCCGTAACACTGTGTAGCCCCTCCCACTCTGGCTCAGGCTTGACAGTATTACTTATTTTGGCCAATAGGATTTGAAGCTTGAAAAACTGCTGTGTTTTTCACGTCCTCTCTGGGACCACTGTGCTCACCCTGAGAGTATCCCCAGCTAGCCTGCTGGAGACTGAGGCACATGCCACAGAGCTGAGGCCATCTGAGATCAGCCGGCTGACCACCAGACATGTGAGAGAGCTTCCACCGAGACCAGAGGAGTTGGGAGGGAAGGCTGGCTCATAGACTTGGGAACAGTAAGTACTATTGTCTTAAGCCAGTGAGTTTCGGGATGGTTAATTATGTGGCATTATTATGGCAACAGCTAACGGCTACAGGGCCCCAAACCCCAAATTACCAATAGGCTGGGCAAGGTGTCTCTCCCACAGTGCCAAACAAGGTGCCAGGGAACAGAGTGTGTTTGTTTACGCTCAGAGGTTTCAGAGCCACGCTGTCACAGTTCAAATCCCAGTGTCGCTATTTTCTAGCTTTGTGTCCGTGGTCAAGTTATCCTTCCTCAGTTTTTTTGTCTTAAAATGGGAATAATATGACCTGCTTTCCATGGTTGTTGTGAGGGCTTAACGATCTAATATATGTAAAATGCTTAGAATGAAATAGTTCTCAATACAGATGGGCTGTTAAGGCTCGCCTCCCTTAACCAGGCACCCCCCTGGGGGCTGGGATGGCACCTTGTGTGCCCCTCTTTCTCCAAAGCCTGGCAGAACACCCAGCGCAGTAGACATCCAGTGATGAGCACTTTTATTAGCACAGATGCAAATTTTAATATTCTCTTTCAACCTAAGGCCAACATCTTTGTTCTTTTTATAAAGTGCACATGGAATATTTACCATTCTTTACAACTGCTCTTCTCTCTCCCTCTCTCCTGTGCAATGAAATAAATCTTTTAAGCCTTCTTCGTTATCTGGCATTTACTTACATGCACTGCCCGTTCCAACTGTACTTAATTGAAGCGTTTCCCAAGCGTTTTCCCCCAGTAGAGCCAGGAGGGTCGGGAGGCGTCATCCCCCACCTGGAGAGCGCTTGAGGGATCGCCGTCTTCCAAAAATCCTCAACCTGCCTGCTTTGGGGAATCAGGTGCCCTCGGCTACTTCTCACCCACCCTCTTTTCTCTCCAGCACCTCCCCCACCTGACTGTCTGCCTCCTTCTCCAAGGCCTGACTCCTGGATGGTAGCCTCCCCACGGGCCCCATGGGAAGTCCCCAGGACACTGCCCACTGAGGATGGTGGGAAGCAAGTCACCCTCAGGTTCCAGTCCTTCTTCTGTCACTTACTGGCTGTGAGACGGGGGAGTGGTCATTAACTATGGTCCCCTGGGGGCTTCTGGGAGAAAGAGGGTTCAAGTCCCACCCTCCAACCAAGCTCCATAAATTTTGAATATACAGACATGCTACCGAAGAAAGGTCTGTAGCTTCTATCATATATTCAAAGGCCATTAGAAACCCAAAACCACATAACCACAGCCGTAGGCAAGTCCCTTCACCTCTGTAAGCCTCAGTTTCTTCATCTAAAAAATAAAGGAAACGATAATGTTCTCTGATTTCACATTATAGAAATTTCATTATGCCTTTTTTTAAATTCAGAAAATACTTAGGCTGTTTGGATTTTAAAAGATGCTGCACAAACTGTATTAAACTAAAGACTGTATATAATTCCCAACCTTTTTCTGAGAGGTTGATGTGAGTGAAATTCAGACCAGAGGACAGGATCTGGAAAAGGACATGGACAGAGTTTTCGTAGTTTACATTGTTCCCTTTTCATAGATGAGGATTCCGAGGCTCGGGAAGGTTAACAGAATCGCCGGAGATCAGGGCTGGCATGCAGGCAGCGCTGGCTATTCCAACCCCTCGTACTTTATTGCGACTGTCATCTGTGTCTCGTTTTACAAAACTGAGCGAATGGGAGTGCTGCTGTTCATGCTATGTTGTCTGTGTCTATGCAGAGTGATTTTGCCTTTCAGGGGCTCTGCAGAAATGCCTCTTGATTCTGAGAGCTGTGCTTTGCATCTGACTCAGTATGTCACCATTCAGGGAATATAAGGAAAGCTACCGAAGACGACTCCCAAGCCCCACGTGGGCTGCGGGTTTCTGTCCTGTGGAATGGGTACACTGCCTCCCTCTCAGGGCTGCTGGGCACACCCCAGGGGGTCATGTGCAGAGGCGCCCAGCCCCGTGCTGGTGTGATATTGATGCTCGCCGTTGCGCCTGTAAATCCCCTTACCTTGCGTGTGAATGTTAAGACAGGAGAACTGGGCGGTGAAGAAGGGAGGAGAGGAGAGAGGACCACCCTAGACCTGAACCACTAAGAAATCTGTGTTCACAGCATCTCTGTGGTTGGGGCCGCCCCATGGAGAGACACTGCCACAGATAAGAAGTCTTATCCTGCTCTGACCTGTGTTTCCTCCCTTTGCCACCCATAGCAGGCTGCTGGGAAGGCACAACGATATAGGGTATCCTAGGACACCCGGCACTGTGCCTGCAAGCGGGGTGGCCCAGGTCCCCGCACGCCCTGGCGCGCTGACCCTGTGAAGACGCTGGAGCCGCGTGGGAAAGGCGAAGGGCCCTACCTTTCTCGGCTCCTGCCTGGTCATGCTTGTCGAAGAGCAGGTAGCGCGGGCTCTCGGGGAGAAAGGGCAGGGTCACCAGCTGGACCACGGCGGGGACAGCAATCACTCCAAACAGGTATGGCCAGGTGCTCTCCTGAGGGGAGGAGAGGGGGCCAGTGAATGGATGAGGTCTTCAGACTTTACACCGGGGCGGGGCCCCTGGGCCCTGCAGGCTTGGCTTTCTGCAGAAGGCCCCTCCTCCTGCACCAGCGTGAGCCACGCCAACAAGGGCGGAGGGAGGATCCGACGCGGTCTAGCCCCAGCCCCACGTGTCCGGCATTCTCCACGAGATCAGCGGATCCTGTGAGGGGGTGGCCTGCAGAGCAGCTCGGAGAAGAAGGGGTTCAGAGGGGCCCAGGACTGACTGACCCCGTGACCCCTGGGCATCATGGTGAGCCTGCAGGGACTCTGCTCTTCCTTGGGGGTGTGGCCTTGGACACTGTTCCTCAGGCCCCTCAGCGTCCCCTCTTCACCTGTGCAGTGGGGACACCTCAGGCTGTCGTGAGAGTGGGAGCCGATCACGCTTGACTGTGGGCGCTGAGGTGCAGTGATGCGCACAGCAAACTATCATTGGTGCCACTGCCCAGGTGCCCCAAGGCTAGGATGACCGACCCATCTGGCTCCTGTCAGTGAACTGAAGTGAGGGTGGTGGGGTGAGGGGGGCACAGCTCACCCCTTAGGGGGGCAGCTCTTCATTGCCAGCAGTGCCTGGGAAAGCCACGCAGGCCCTACACAGGCATTCTGAGTCCCTTCGACCAGCACCGTCACCTACAGTGCAGCTTAAATGTGGCACGGAGCCCTCGTTATTATGCTGAGGGAGGCGGCGTTCTTCCCGACTTTATTTTTCACCCAGGTTTACACAGCAGCTCTCCCTGTGCTTCTGAAAGCAGAGCATGTCCATGCTAGGCAGTTCTGATCGGACAAAGATGAAAAGCAAAATTCTTGACATGCACTATTTTCTACGACAGTCAAAGGAGGCAGTTCAAGGAGAAAAGAAGACACACACCTGAAACCACTACGCACAGTGGGCCAAGTTCCCGTGGGCATTAGGTGGCGTGCTAGGGGGATGTGCCCACAGAACCCCCGAGCGGCCAAACTGGCAGGGCGCCCACGTCAGCCTCCCGGGTCTCCTACAGCTGCTCTCTCGGAGGCAGCATTCCCTGTGCTGTTCAGGCTCGGCCCTGCCGCGGCCCTTGAGGACAGAGGCCCAGCCACGAAGTTCCAGGATCCCACGAGGGTAGAGCCGGCAGGGACCCCAGAAGCACGGAGCAGGGCAAAGGGCACCAGCCAGGATTCAATGGTCCAGGTCCTAATTTTCAAGGTATAGTACTTTTGATTCTACACTCCTTTCTGCACTGAATAACAATCTATATTCACAAAACTGTGCTGGTTTCACCAGTAAGCACAGTTCTCCCATAGCCCTGGGAGGGACTGGTCAGGCCAGTGCCAGCTTTTCAGTTTGTGGCGAGCTCTATGTAAGGGACCAGCACTGGGGACAGAAGGCGGAGCAGTGGTTGCAGGGGCTGGAGGGCGAGTGCGGAGTGGCCGCTACTTGTTATGGGGTTTCGTTTTTGAGGTGTGGAGCCTTGAGCAAATTCTCTCTGGAACCACCACTATCTCGGCTAGAAAAGGAGACAGTGGTTACCACGTGTTTTGCAGGGCTTCTGCAAGGGTGATGGAGGTGACGCCTAGCCTGGCCTGGCACAGGGTTGGTTGGGAGCCAGTAGACGTTGGTGCTTTTCCCCCTGTGCTGTGGCACGGAGCCCACGTAAGTGGCCCATCCTACTGAAGAGGGGGTCTGAGGTTAGACCTGCCGCCCGGCGGTGAGCCTGTGACTTGATGTCTGGGTTGAGGGCCTGGAACTCACTTTGCAGACCCGAGTGGGAAGCCTAGGGTATGCAGGACGGGCCTACCCACCGTCAGGGGCCCCTGCCTAATTTCATCGGCCACCGCCCCTCTTCCTTGTGTGCTCTCTGTCCAGCTGGACATGGACACCTCTGGTGGCCCTTTGCTGAACCTACCGAGAATAAGTATGACGCCCTCCCTTCCAGGGTGCTGTCTGCGCATCTGTGCGATGCCAGGTCACACCCAGATGCGTGCTCCCATCCCCTACACCTCTGAGTGCCCTTGAGTCTTGGCACATGGCGGGTGCAAGGCTGGATTTTCAAAGCAAGGCTAACATCTTGTTTCCTCAACTCATTCATTTAATCTGTGGACATTTCTGGAGGGACAGGGCAGGTGTGAGGATGGTGACAGCAGGAGCAGAGCAGCAGGTGGAAGGAGCCCTGTGCTTTGTTTTAGCTTTTTCTAACAAATCAGTGCCATCAGCTTTCTCGCCTCTCACGACATGTCCCCTTTTCATAAAGCAGGGGTCAGCATGTCCCAGCCTGCCGGGCACCTGGAGCAGAGGTTCCACTTAGTATTATTGGGTTTTCACGGAGAAGGCTCTTTTTCAGAACCTCATCTCTTCTCATCTTTGAAATGTCAGCAGGGGACTGAAGCCAAAGAAACTGCAGAGATTTCAAACCGAGGACCGTTTCCTGGCTACCTGTCACCAGCCACTCAGCAGGTGGGCGTCTCTCTTTCCAGGCTGTGTATGATTCAAATTTAAATCAGATCTGAAGCAGCGATGTGAATAATTTTAATTTGGGGCATTTTTCTGGAGTTTCACGTACCCCCTTGAGATTCCAGGTGGCGAGTCCCTGGTGTACACACCCAGCCCCACATACTGTGACTCAGCCACTCAGCTGAGAAACCCAAATATTCTGGCTCTCGGGGAGGGACCGAGTCACGTCCCAGGTCTGACTGACAGCTAGAGGGGTGTATGTGTGTGCTGGGTGAGCAGGGGGTGGCTTCTTTCAAATCACTGTCGTTTTCACACCAAGCCCTCCTGGGCCAGGACCCAGGCTAATTGGGTGTTATTCTCCCCTCGGTGTTCAAAGCCTGGGAAGGAATTTTTGTCAGTAGGTGCTGTTTGGGAAGCTCAGAGGTCATGTCACAGGTGAGATGTGTCTCCTTATTCAAACATTCAGACTTGAAACCCGCCAGACGCAACAGCCGCCTCCTTCAGTTAGAAAAGCACCGTGGGTGTGCATGTCCGCAGGGTTCCCAGGCTCCCCAACTGCTTTTGTCAGGAGTGTGGTTGTCGGGACAAGCTCAAGTGGTGTTTAGCTCCGTTCTCATTTCAGGAGCTGTTCCACTACATTCCTTTTCTGGAGTTGAGATTTGTTTGACTTGGACCTTTCTTAAAGGCTGAGGGATGTGGACTGAGATAAAGAGAGTAAATGGTCCCAGGCCAAGGGAACCACAGGAGGATTACGGGAGAGCAGAGGGGTATTCAGGGAAATACGGGTGGCTGAACGGTGCTAGGGATTAAAATGAGTTTGAACTGGAGGCTGGACCCAAATTAAGGGGCCGTGAATGCCAGACTTGAGGAGTTTGGCTTCATTTGCCAAGCAAACGAACTAGCTTCGTTTGCACGACAGCTGCTCTTTATAGAACACACACAGTGATACGCCCTCTACTTATAGTATGTCTTTTAATGATGACATCAACCCCAGGGAACATGCATTCTTGTGCCCATTTTACAGATGGAGAAACTGAGACTCAGCATTGCAGTAACTTGTTAAACGACGGGGCTAGAAAGCAGCGGATGGAGGAAATCTGTAACTTTCTGACTTCCGAGTCAGAGCTTTTTCCAGCCTGCCACACTCCATGCCCTGAGGGGCTGGCGCGACGTGGCCGAAGTCCCGCAATAGGCATGAATCCCCAGGTGCGTGGAGGGGGAGGGCGGATGTGGGCGTGGCCCCCACTTACCTGTCCTGTTCCATCTCGTGTCGTTGCCTTCCTGGTCCTCTTATGAAGCCATCCAGTTTCTAAATGTGCCTAGCTCTCTCTCAGGCTTCTTCCTATTTTTGCACCAGCTCTTCACTCTGCCTGGAATGGTGTTTCTCTTCCCTTCCACCTGGATACCTAACTGTCCCCCAGCCCTCAAGGGGGACAGAGAGGCTTCCCTGGCCCTCCCCTGATGTATTAGGGCTGCTCCGTGCTCCCTCCACCCTGGGCTTCCTATATGGGCCACCCCTGTCTGTTGTCCCTCCCATCTGCCCCTGTGGCAGCGAGTGCCTCGCAGGCAGGGACTTGGCCTGCTCATCTCTGCAGCATCTGGTGCACTGTGGACACTCTATAAATACCGATTGATTTGAGCAAGATGCGCTGATTGGAATTATACGGCTATAGGAGGTTGGGACGCGAGTCCTCTGCGGTGTCCAGAGGGGAGGCGAGGAGGCCCTGAATTAGGGGCACCGGTGGGAGGGAGGGTGGAGCTGCCTGAGATGGTGGAGAGGACCACGGGCAATGGGAGGACGCCCGGTTAGGTGAGAGATACCGGCAGAGGTGTCACTGAGGTGGGCTGGGACGTCTTTCCAGGGCTCCACTGCGCCTGCTCCGTGCTTCAAGCCGTCAGCCCCAGAGGCCCCGCCCTACCGCCACGCTGCCTAAAACAGCCCGCCTTGACCCCTCCTCCTTCCTGCTTTGCTCGGCTTCGTAGCGTTCGCTACGATCTGACTTCATGTATTTAAGTCTCTGATCTGTGTCCTCCACTAAAATGCAAGGCTCATGAGGGCAGGGATCCTTTTCTGCTTTGGCCACTGATGGACAGAGCCAGGCACACAGCAGGCACTCAGTAACTGTCGAATGAATGACTACATCAGGAATGAACAAACTGGTCCCAATGAAGGCTTGGACTCCCACCCGATGAGGACACTAGAGGGCGCCTGATCACAGGCTGGATCTGGGCGTAGTGCTCCTCAGCACCCCAAAATTTGTGCCCTGGGCCTTGGGCAGCGGCTTTCCATAAACTGGGAGTCCTGGGACAGGCTGTTTTGGTTATAGGCAGACAGGGTGTTAAGAGCGAGGGTTTGGGCCAGGCTGCCTCGGCGGAGTCCTGGCTGAGGCCCCTAGTAGTGTGTGGCCTTGGGCAAGCACTCCAACCTCCCAGGAGACCCGGTTTGCTCATCTGGAAAATGGGTATAACAGCAATTACGTCCTGTAGGACCTTGAGCACGTTTGTTAATCTCTCTGTGCCTCAGTGTT